ATCGTCTTTCCTGGTGGCATTAGTCAGAAATCCATGACTTCAGCCAGATAGCCACAAAGGACTGCGTCACATACCACAAAATGCTTCAGCTTTTCCCTTCCCAACCGAGCGACATCCATCACTTGCTGACTTATTTAGGTAGCAAATACACTGGCTGTCACGGTCAGAGTCTTTCAAAGCTGACATGGTGAAAACTACCCTCCCTAGTGTGCACATTCCCTTCCACCTTGTGAGAAGCCTCTGCACACACGCCCTGCCTTTGTCAGACACCTTAGGTACCCACAGTCTTTCGGGGACAAACAGAATGTATCCATTTTAACCTGGCTACTAAAGTGCTTAAGGTTGTCATTAAAGTATTTAATTTGGCTACACAAGAAATATATACTCACTCTAGAAAGTTTTCAAAGGAGAAAATAGAAACCTCCCTGATTCCAATGCCCGGAAACAATGACTCCTGAAAGTTAGGACCCCAGGACATCACAGCAGCAGGGGCAGAAAGTGAACTAACTTCCTCCCCACCCACTTGGCCGCGTCACTGTGCAAACCACGGCCAATCACCCTGGGAATCTCTGTCCCATGCATGAGCCTGAAGCCCGGAGCTCAGGAGCGCTCCTGTGGGCAGACATAGCCCACCCTGTGGACGTTAAGACTGGGCACAAACTTGCTCTGACCAATACAATGACAATGGTAGTGGTGGGTGTCCTTGTTTGTTCCAGTAGTGGGAGAGAGCCCAGAGGCCCTCCTGTCAGAGCTACACCTTTCATGTTATTTTGACACAGGGTCTCACTACCCTGCCCAGCTGGCCTCAGACTGGTGATCCTCCTGCCTCAGCCTCTGAAGTAGCTAGGATCACGGGCATGCACCACCATGCCTAGATTATGCCACTTTTAGCAGAAGCTTTAAGAGGCACCATGTGGCTGTGTCACCTTTTTATCTTCCATAGGGAGAGCAACAACTGCCATACAAACTGCAATATCAGCTTCAGCCACACAGCACACACAACCAGAGCACAGCTGCTGCCAGCCCACAGCTGACCTAAGGTGAGTGAGAACCAACTCTGTCACCATCAGACCCAGACTTCCAGAGGTGCTTGTTACACAGAATAACTTAGCCTGTGCTGACAGATGCACCCACTTGTGAAATGTCAACTGAGTTCTTTTTGTGCCTGGAGAGCTTTGGTGTAACAAAAATATTTGCTTGAGTTTTAACTTACAATTTGCATGTTTAAATATTTATTTTAAAACTTAATTTTGAAGGCCTTAAACTTGTGTGATCTTATTGTGTGTCCATTAATTTTATGTACGTTATTATTTAATTTTATTGTTTTGATGAATGCCTAACTGGCTTATAAATTTGATAAAGTACACCTAAATATTTATCAAATGTTTAGAATTAAGTTTTAGAAATTTTAAACAACTATCTAGTTTTAACTGACTTTCTCAAGTTCTTAATCAACAAAGCAGTTGTGGAGGGGGGGCAGTCCATGGTCCTGGGGATTGAACCCAGGGCCTTTGCACTAAGCTACATCCCAAGCCTTTTAAATTTTCTAATTTTGAGAGAGGGTCTCCTTAAGTTGCCATCCTCCTGCCTCAGCCTCCCAAAGTGCTAGGATTACAGGTGTGCACCACACTTGGTATAGTCTTGCATTTCTACAGTCCAAAGACATGCATCTTACTAAATACTTAAAACACAGAAAACTTAAATTTAACAAATCATTACAGACGCTTAAACACCAAATCCACACTGAAATTACCTATGAGTGTTTTACTAACATTTAGAGCTTTCTACACCAGGAGGTCTTTCTGTGCCCTACAAAACAGGAAACGGACACAAAATACTCTGACGGTTACACAGTTTATTTACAGATAAAATTTCTAACTAGAGGGAACTTGGCTATCAAAGGGTCTTTGAGAGGCTTTTACTTTCTGGCAATGACAAGATAGTCCCACCTCCTCTCGATGCCCCCTGCCCTAAAACACTCTTGCGCCCTTCTCCAGAGCCCAGAGCCGGCATGAACTCTGGCTGGAATGCAGATGAGAGGGCTGTGCAAAGCAGCTCTGGGGGGCACTGAGGGGAAAGGTGGAAATCCAATGTGAGCTCTGGCCTGGCCTCTGGTGTCAGCGGGACCAGGGTCCCAGTTGTTCAAGGGCCAGCGGGGCCTCTGGTAGTCAAAGGCAGTCCCTTACTGGCCTGGGGGTTGGTCACGCGGAAGAGAAGGGCAGACAAAGCGTGAGTGGTGGGGGGCTGGCCTGAGGGCAAGGCCATGGGGAAGGCTGGGGAAGGCTGGAGAGGGCGGGACTTGGCCCTGGTAGAGTAAAGGTGACAGGAGGATTGGAGAAAGTCTACCTTTGTCCCTCCTGAGCAGAATGGGGACCCGAGCAGTGACAGCCTCGGGCGTCGTGAGATTGCCGCCAGGCGCACGGCAGCCTCCTCCTGTCAGGAGCCGGAACACTGAAAGGGAACCCAGAAACTCTCTGCCCGCCTGGAAACTGGCCTTCTCTCCAGGCCCGTGCTAACAGACAGCCGGCTGCTGCCCGTGGGGCTCAGGACACCTGAGACCCGAGGCTTCCGGACAACGGGTGGTAGCTAGGACACGCGCGCGCACACACACACACACACACACACACACGTGCAAGTGCAAACACATGTGTGCAATTCGGTTCACTCCACGTACTGTTTTCTAAAGTATCTTTAGCACAGCCGGAACACATTCAGCAAAATATTTTCCTACACCACCATTTTAGCAGTTACACGTCTTTTCCATGTGTAGATGTTCCAGATGAACTTTACTTCCATTATTTTGCTTTGATAATCACTGTGAGCTAGTCTCATAGAGTCATGATTACCTCGTACTAATTTCTCAGGGAAATTCTTCAAATCGGAAATGCCAGGCAAAAGCAGTGCCAACACACGGAGCTCAACTTCCTGGGTGCTACACACCCTATGCATGCGTACCAAAGTGCCACTTTCACCGCTGCAGGACTCAGTTAAAGATGACTTGTCAGTTTGACCGGTGAAGCACAATTTCCTTCATTACTAAGGCCGAACATTATTTTCATCTTTATCAATCACCTATCTCTACTGGAATGTACTTTTCTTACTGATCTGTAAGGGCGTTTTGATTGCTGTTAGGGTTTAGACCTGCAGTGTCCCCCAAACCTTGTGGGGTTCCGAGGTGGGGATCTTGGAAGGTGACTGGAGTGTGGAATGCTCCTGGGTGGATTCGGCCGCGGCTGAGAGTAGTGGAGTGTGCCCTCGGGAGGTGCAGCCTGGCCGGCAGAGGCGGTCACAGGGAAGAGGGGTTTATTGCCCGCCCCAGCGCCCTGCTTCCTGTCTGGCAGGATCCTTCTCCTCCGCCCAGGCCCTTCCACTGGCCATTTCTGCTTTCAGGCAGCCAGCCATGGACGGAAGCTTCTGAACCCGTGAGCCAAAATAAACCCCTCCTGGTCTGAGTTACAGGTGTTGGGTATTTTGTTCCAGCCATGAGAAAGTGACTAAGATAATTATTAAAGATGCAGTACGGGTGACACTGGGTCGTGCTGTTTATAGTGCTTACATTTCTGTGGCTGGCCACAGCCTTGAGATATTTATACCTGTACGTAAGTAATTTTTCTTTTTTAGTGCTGAAGATGGAACCCAGGGCCTCATGCAAGCCAAGCCCGGCTCTGCCTTTAGCTACGCCCCAGATCTTGATGAAGTGTGCCAGCTCAGACACTCAAATCTCCACTTCCCAGCACCCAACCTTCACACACCAGAGGACACCGTCCTTCACCAACCTGTCACACACCCGAGCCCACCGCCCACATCTCACCAGCAGGAAGCCCCTTGGCAGGTACGGGACCCCTCGACCTCCTCTCCTGTGAGCCTCAGATCCCTCCTGCTCATGACGGCTGTTTGCTGAGACCTGGGCTGCACCTGGTGTTGTCACGGCCACTGGGCACACAGGATGATCGCCACAGGCGGACGCCCACCCCTTGGCGAGCTTCCGTTCTAGGGCCGGGGGACAAAGCGAACAAATAAGGACTGGTAGGTCCAGGAGGTGGCGCGGGCGGGGAGCACATGGAGGGGCCTTGTGGAAAGGGCTGGGGTGAACCTCAGCAGGGAGGCCGGCAAGAGCGGCAGGAGGTGCAGCCAGGGAGTAGTGGGTAGCAGCTTCTCCTCTGGATGCACTGGACAGGTTATTTCCCAAGATAGCCGCTACAATCTCACGCCCCGTGGTCCGCCGTACATGATCTTGCCGCTCTCCTACAAAGAGGGCAGCCCAATGGATAAAGAAAATGGGTGCAGTGTATCCCAGTGTGGTGGCGCACGCCTGTGATCCTGCACTCTGGGAGGCCGAGGCAGGAGGATGGCAAATCCGAGCCCCCTCCGCCTAGCCATTCAGCAAGACCCCGTCTCAAACTACACAAAGGGGCAGGGATGCAGCTCAGCCTACAGGCCCCAGGTTCCATGCTCTGACCACAAGGAGAGAGGGAAGGGGATATTCACACAGTGGACACCACTGGCCTTTGAAAGCGGGCTCTCGCGACTTGTGACAACCAGCACACAGCTGGAGGACGCCCAGTCCCAGCAAGAAGAGCACGGTATGACCTCACTTCTGCGGGGAATCTTCACAAAGCGGCTGAGAAGCTGGCAGAGCTGCGGTTAGCAGGCACTGGGGCCAGAAGCCACACACACGCCGAGACCAGAGGCACAAAGCCAAGAGCTCGAGCGCAGACATGCCAATTGTAATGTACACTTTAAACCGCGACGAGGGCGGATTCTAAGCGTTCTCACCATGAAAAAATGCAGGTAATGAGGTTGATTTTGCCATTCCAGAATTTAGACGTATTTCAGAACATCCTACTACACACCATAAATACACAGTCTCCTTTGTCGAGTTTTAGGAATCAGTCTCATGCTCAAAAGCTGACCAGGGCTGAATCAGCCCCGAGGCCAAGTCTAGGAGGTCAGGAGGGCTGGGGTGAAACAGGTAAAGAAGGGAAAACAAAACGCCGTCCTTTTCAGTTTTACATTTTATTAAAGTACAGAGCTAACAAGCTTTGAGGTTTCTACACAGGAAGAGACTTGAACACAGGTGCTTTGTAGAAATACTAGCGTCCAAAAAAATACAAATCCATAATTGGCTTTGTGACTCAAGGGGAAAAATAACAATTTTAGAAGTCAGCCAACTGGAAACCTATCAGAGACCCTTACAAACACCAAACAGTAGTTTTACCACATACACTGCCTTTTCAGATTCTAAAATACAAATTCCACAATATAAAACGTAACCACAAAACCTGGCTACAGCTAATTGTTTCAGAAAAAGGTTTAAAAATTAACAAACTTGTGACTATAAAATTTTTTTTCTTTGCAAAATAAAAAAGGTTAAATCTTTAATAAAAAAAAAAAAACCAATCCTCTTAAATTTCTCATAAATAGCTCTCGAAACATATATTACCCATCTGTTGTAGACTTTCTACGCGGGAGGATTTCCCAGGACCCTTTACCCCAAAGAACGGCTTTCAAGAGTTCTCCGACACTGAGGCTAACTACATTTCTCCTGCAGAGGATGTGGAGATTCCTCACCCAACCTGCCCTTCCCGGGTTCACTTTCTTCCGGACAGAACTGGGCTTTGAAACAAAAACCTGAAACACCTCTTTGGTAAAAGGCAAGTATCTGAACCTTTCAACGTGGCTGCTCTGAGAGCGACTTGGAAGAGAAGAGAATTCTAGGGGTCTTGGCCATAATGCCGGGCGGTGACCCTCAGAGCCTGCCCTGCAGGGAAGGCGCACTCAGAGAGCTCCTTAAGGGAGCCCAGGCCGCGTGGCCACTGCCGCGCCCTGCACAGAGGATCTGACCCTCCCAGCTGGGGGCGACCCCTTCCACGTCCCAGCAGATGGTGCAGACTGCATGGAGAGACGGCCAAGGAAGCAGCAGGCCAAGGCAGCTTCGGCACAGCTCGGGTGCCCTGGGGGATAGCAAGCACCAACAGGGTACACTGCTGGCGGCAGTCAAGTAAGCAGAGAGTCTCAGAAAGGCCGAGGGTGACAACAGAGAGGACCGCCCAAGTGCTACACTGAGGTCACCACGCAGGGCATCCTCAGGGGAGAGGAAGGACAGTGTCGGGGTGGGGACTTGGCAGGATGGCCTTCCTTTAGGCCAGCACCACAGTCCCCACGCCACCTCCCTCAGCCCAGCACGTACCTCTGTCCACTCTGCACAGAAAGCACCATCAACAACGGCAAACTAGAAACCGAACTGGCCAGCTGGGACTGCAGCCCAGCCCCGGAGGACACTCGGTCCAGTGGTCAGGCTGGAAGTCAGCCTCAGACTGTGGACTCAGGGCAGCGACACCCCCTCCACCAAGGTCCCACTGGGGAAGGAGAGGCCAGGATCCCTGCCCCTAAGGCGCCAAGAGGAGAACACGGAGAACTTGAGGCGCCCTGTAGGAGTCTGCCCCGCGGCACGGAGGACCCTTTAAAAACCAGCTACAGAGCCTTACAGAAGCGAAGGACTGTTAGTTAGAAGAGCCCATTAAATAAACACCTCTGCTACCACAGCTCCAAGTGACTGGCGCAGGTTTTCCAGTTTCTTAGGTCACACAGTGCCCAGGAGGGGGCTTCCTAACCCTGCGAGTGTGGACCCACTTCCCATGGTCTGCACTGGCCTTGCCTGGGGACCTGGCAAACCCTGGTTGAAACTGGAACTCAGGGAAGGGCGTGATATGCCCCGCTGGAGACCAGGCCAGGCTAGGGCCATGGGAAGCCACTGGGGCAGCCCTGTCACCTGCGTTTCCCTGAGCTGCTTTCTGCAGGGGAGGGGCCGGGAGCGTGTGGCTGTCACCTGGACCTCGGCCTGGTGCTGAGACCCAGCTAGGAGGACAAATCAAGGCCGCTGCTGGACCACGGCAGGGGGACAGTGATGCGGCCCACCATGCCCAGCTCGCCACCTGTGTTTGCTGAAGGCAACCTCAGCACGCCCAAAGCCCCCGTCACCGTGCCCGGGGCGTCCACACAGCCTGCACTCCCAGGCCCCATTCAGTTCCCAGGGCTGCTGGAGGGAGGGCCGTCTGGCGTCCCAGGCGAGGCGAGGGGGAAAGGAAGGTCCTGATGAATCACCAACATGACGGCAGGTGAACCCTAGTTCTACCCAACTGGTACAGATGGCACGGAGCAGACGTCGGGCTGCGTCCCATGAGAAGGGACCCCAGGGCGGTCCCCACGCTGCCCCGGGCCCTGCAGGCTTTTGGCTGTGGGACCCTCCTCCCTGCCCAGGGTGCGGACGCTGGGCATGCTCACCCTAGGTGGCTGTTGACGTCCTGAGGACTACTCCACAGCTCGGACCCTGGGAACTTCAGGGGATACTGCTGACGGCCCAACACCCTCAAGCGCCCCGTCCTACCAGCTGCGCTCAGCACCTCCCACAGCCACCCCTGCAGCCCAGCCTGGGGCCCGCACGTCACTCCAAGGAAACCACGATGGGCATACAGGCCGGGGACAGACCCAGGGAGCCAGAGCGCTCCTGCTTCTCGATCTCACAGGCCCGCAGGTGGGGGAGGCCCAGGGGCCGACCTGACCCCGCAGGGCTGAGGCAGGCGTGGGCCCAGAAGCACTGCTGGGCACCCGGGCCCTAGGTACTGCAATCCCAGCAAACACAAAGGGGAGGCGGGGCCCTCGTTGCCAACACACAGGGAACACGTGAGCACTGCCCCAGGCAAGCGCCATTCCCATCGCGAGCTGGGACCAAGACAGCGGCACCATGTGGGCGACATGGTGAAGTGTGCTTTTCACATTGGGACACCGGTGCTGGACCCGGGGAGCAGGGGGCGACCCAGGGGGGCTGCGACTGCCAGCATCGCAGCACGAAGGGATGAGCTCTGAGGCTGGGCTGAAGGCAGGGGCTCCCTCTTGGGCCTGTAAACACTGGGGAGCAGGGGGCGGGGCCTCAGGGACGGGGCTCCAGGCAGGGGAGTGAGGAGCAGGGCTGGTCTCGGGGGTCAGGGACTCTTTTATAGCTAGGATGTGAATGTCAGGCCACATGAGGTGATCTCATCCCTGTGAAAGGTGTGAGCCCCAAATTCTGGTCAGGTAAAAACGCACCCAAGGACATGGTAGCACTGAGGGACAAGACATCAAAACACATATATGCATCCCAGGATCGTTTTGGTCGAACTTTTCAATTCCTTTAGACAAATGGCAGTTTCTTTTCAATGTGTGAATTAAAAAGCACATTGGATATACTTTGTTTCCTGAGAGCTTTTTGAGACACACTTAAGACAGGTGAGAGGTGCCGGCTTTTCCTGGGGCCCAGGGGCTGCTGGAAGCCTCGGCGTGCTTGTCAGAAGGACCGAGCTCCACCTCACACGGAGAACTGCCGAGACGGACAGCACAGCGGCGCCACCAGCGTCCACAGGTACAGCAGCACACACGTCCAGCACGAGGCCATCTTGACCCAGAAGACGGACCAGCTCTCCCGGAAGAAGGTGTGGATGCTGGCACCCTCGTAGCTGTGGGGAAAGGACGTCCAGCGCAGTCAGAGAAGGGAGACTGGGAGAGCCCGGGGGCCCCACCCTGCCAGACTTTCTTTCTCAACGATTCAATGGAGATATAAACCACCTGTACTCAAAATGCACAATTCCGCGGCTTTTAATACATCCACAGGCTCGTCCAGTAACCACTGCGGTCACTTCAGAACACGCACACGTTCTCACTCCTGTCCCCCTGGGCTGCCCTCGCCCTGTCCCTGGCCCCCAGCACCCTCCGGGCTCCCGGCTCCTCCCGTTGGCATCATGTGCCTGCTCCACACAGTTCAGAGCTGTGGGACCTCGCGGCCTCTTGCGCCCGCCAGGCTTTGAACTTAGCATCCTATTCTGCAGCCCTTCCACACTGAAGTGCAGCTAAGGACCTCAGCTAAGGACCTCAGGACCACAACTCTTGGGAGCAGTTCTTCAGATGGCAGAACATCTGCACAGACTTTACCAGCTGTGCGTGCCTCACCCACAAATCCCCAATGTCCCAAAATGGGAAGCTTTTACTGTCACGCTAGATTTCTGAGCACTCTGGATTTCTGGTTAGGGATTCCCTACCTGTACATCGCTCTCCTTACTGCCAAATGATACGCCGTTACACGGCTGTGGAGCATTCGGTTGATGCATCTATGGGCTGATAGCATTTGCGCTGTGTCTGACTTAATCGCTATTACGAATGATGTGGCCACAAGCGCTGTCTGAGGGTTTGTGTGGACATAATTTTCTTTTTGTCTCAGGGAAAGCCTAGGAGTTAAGCCCCTGGCTCCTACTGTAACTGTGGATTTCAGGGTCTGCAAAGTTGTTTTCCAAAGCAGCTTCCTTCCACCTCCCCCAGCAAGGAAGAGGGGTCCAGTCTCCGCCTCCTCCACACCAGACCAGGGCTCCCGGTGTCCTCTCTTAAATTCCGCAAGCTCAGCTTCCTCTGGAATTCCTCAGGCACCACGGGGGAAGCGTGACAAGTCCCTTCCCCTCTCCCTTGCATGGAGAAGCGCAGGAGGAAGCTCTCAGAGAAGCCTTTCCCCTGAATGGGTCTGAAGTCCCCACCTCCCGCCTCCATTTTTCTTCTCTCCCCAGATGGTCCCCTTTTGACACTGTCACCCCCTCTCCCACCACACCGACCCGGCCTCCTGCAACAGGGCGGCACACAGGAGGCCCGAGCATGTGCGGGACCTGTGCTAAGCCACCATCACACAAGTCAGGCCGCAAGGGAGACTCCAGGTCTACAAAGAAGGATTAACTCCGTCACGCGTGGCAAAACGGATGCACCTTTCGACCACAGTGTTCAGTGAAATGAATCAGACACAGGAGCTTGGATGTCACATGGGTTCTCCCAGAGGAGAAACTCAAGGCATAAATAAAGAGCAAAACAAAAGACACGAGGAGGCAGCACGCAGACTTTTTGCACAAGGGGGGGGGATGAGAGATGCAGGCAGGCGGGAGGGAGGAACAGCAAGACTGCATGAAGGAAAGCAGGCGTGTCGTGCGCACACACGGCCGGCTCAGGTCGTCATCGCTGTGTGCTGCAAACAGGCACAGGTGAAAAAGTTTTTAGAAAGAAAGAAACTTCGGATCTGTACAAAAAGTATGAATCTGTGCACGGCAATGGGGAAGTAGGGTCTGTTGTGCACGGCCAACTTAAAAACAGGAAAAGGGCTGGCGTGTGGCTCAGCGGGGAGTGGGACCTGGCGCAGTGAGCCCTGGGTTCCATCCCCAGCAATGTGGTGCGCACACCCACACACATGCATGTACATGCAGTCACAAAGAGCAAACACAAAGGGCATTTTCCCTTCTTAGAAAGGACTACTGTCCTCCATTACTGCACTGTTTTCCAGGCTGCCGCATGGGTGTAATGAAGCACTTGTTTTGTTTTGCTTTCGATGCCCTAGCTCCTGCTCTGTCACGGCACCCCACAGCTCCAGTTCTCAGAGTTGGGTGAGAAAGGGCACCATTCTCGGGAGGCGCGCCACCACACCGGCTGTCAGAGGCTGAGGCAGGAGAATTGCGAGCTTGAGGGCAGCCTAAGCTATCTACCAAAGCCACATCTCAAAGACAAAAAACAAAACGAAAGAGAAGAACCAAATCAAGACTAAAACTCCATCCTGGGGGCTGGGTCTGGTGGTGTACACCTCTAAATCCAGCTACTGGGCAAACTGAGGCAG